GAGTCTCCCTTTGTGGCCCAGGCTGGAGTGCAATGGTGCGATCTTGGCTCACTGCAACCTCCACCTCCCGGGTTCAAGCAATTCTCCTACCTTAGCCTCCCAAGTAGCTCAAACTACAGGTGTGTGCCACCATGCTTGGCTAATTTTTGTATTTTTAGTAGAGATGGGGTTTCACCCTGTTGGCCAGGATGGTCTTGAACTCCTGACCTCAACTGAACTGCCTGCCTCAGCCTCCCAAAGTGCTGGGATTACAGGCATGAGCCACCATGCCCGGCCCTGGAAAAAACATTTTTAATGAAGAAGGAAAACCCAGAAATCATAAAGGAAAAGATTGTCAGATTAGACTGTATTAAAATGTTAAAAACTGTAGAGTCAGAAGACATATTTGAGGCCAAGAGAAAATACATGCAAGGCAAATAATACACAGAAGATGTAATATGAACAATGATTTTAAAAAGACCAAAAAATGTGGTAGAAAGGAGTCAAAAAGATAAGGCAGGCTATTTATTTATTTATTTATTCTCGAATGAACGAATGACGGCGTTTCACTCTGTCGCCCAGGCTGGAGTGCAATGGCACTATCTTGGCTCACTGCAACCTCTGTCTCCCGGGTTCAAGCGATTCTCCTGCCTCAGCCTCCTGAGTAGCTGGGATTACAGGTTTCACCACCACGCCCAGCTAATTTTTTGTATTTTTAATAGAGACAGGGTATCACCATGTTGGCCAGGCTGTTCTTGAACTCCTGACCCCAGGTAATCCGCCTGCCTCGGCCTCCCAAAGTCCTGGGATTATAAGCGTGAGCCACTGCGCCTGTCCAAGGCCGGCAATTCATACGGAAAAAATGTGATGCCATTTGAAACGATGTTTACTTTCCCCAGTTTTCAAGCCAGGAAAACGGCCGATTTTCATTCCTCCCTTTCTGCTGCACTCCAACAAATGCGCCCAGTCTCAGCCCTTCTACTAACTGTTTGCCTTTGAGAAATGTTTTGTTTTATATGTATACAAACCCACAGAATTTTGCATGGGTTGTTTTTAA